CAATGAAAGTGTAAAAAAAAAAAAAAAAAAAAGGGAAGAATCCTTTAAAATATTCCTCTATTCAGATGATGATTTGGATCAGCACCAAAATTAAATGGATTGTTCATACCCTACCTCTCCCAAAAAGTTCATCCAAATCCATTTATTACCTGTGAACAAACAAACCAACAAATAAATGCCGACACAAACACAACCTTCGCCAAGGCAGAGGTAATAAACTAAAATAAACGTTTCTATTGAATCACACTTATAGAGGATAGAGATGTCTGAATTTTCCCTGATGCTCTGTGGCCTTACTAAGATCAGATTTGTGCCAGTGAGCAGCAAGACTGACAAATTCTTGTGACTCAGACACATTTGGTCTGTCGTATTCTGTAGTCGTGCACTGTAATGAGACAGAGCAAGCTAGGGAGATAGGGTGCCACCCACACTACAAAGCCACCATCCCAGTGTCCCGCTGTCCCTCTTTCCCCAACCCAGTGCTTGTCATAGAGGCCTATTGACTTGGCTGACTGAAGGAGGCCGCTATCGTCTGGGTCACTCTGTTCGTAAGCCCTCAGCCACCAGCACTGAAGCCAACTGGAGTCGCTAAGCAACTGCTAACTGAGGAAAGTTGTTGGCGCCCTGACAAGAGGGGCTCCCAATTTAGTTCCAGTCCAGTTTTAAGTGGCCAGTACTTTGGAGAGGAGCACTGAGGCAGCAAAACATACAAAAGAGGAGACAAGACAAGCTAGCAGAAACCTCAGAGAAGCTGGGAAAACCAACATGCCTTTTAGAACCTTTTGCTTTAATCTAGTGACAGACTGTTTTTAACAAAGGGAATGGCATCTCTCCATGTCTTGCAACCTCCATGGTCTATTAATGCCTGAGGCATTGACATGCTTTGTATACATGTTAGCACTATGGAGAGAAATGGCTTTGTAGGATATGGTTCATATTACCATTGCTAACTCTGAGAGACGAGGCAGTCCAAGTAACTTAAAAACAGTGCTGATTTATTCAAAGGATCACAGGTAAAATTAACATTACACGCTCAGATATCTTGCACCTCCAACATGCACGCAGGCAGAAGTAAGATGCAAGACCCTGAACCTCAACAGGCCTATACATTATATCCCCTCGGTTGGGCTAGCCCCATACTACACAGAAATGTCAACCGGGACGTCTCTGTTGCCAGCTTTGCAGCTGGTCATAGCAGTAGTCAAAACATGAAGCAAATCAACGTGTGAATGTGTGTGTCTGTTGGTTAAGTGGTGTGTAGCTAAAAACATTCTCACGACCTCTAGTACATGTCGTGGCTTAAACATAAGAACATATTATGGCTAAGGCTACAGTTATACACATCATAATAATATTAAACATCCTGTCTGCTGACAGTCATCAACTCTTCTCTCTAGTTATCCTTGACCAGATGTACCCTGTAGAAACTCATAAGCATGACTAAGCATTTAACAGTCTAACTAGACATCCTATCTCCACTAAACATTTCTAATACATAAAGTATCTATCTAATTTCTATCTGACTAAAAATACCTAACAATTCCGCATTTAACAGTCTAACTAGACATCCTATCTCCACTAAACATTTCTAATACATAAAGTATTTATCCAATATCTATCTGGCTAAAAATACCTAACAGCCTGAACTGATCATGTCCCTGCTGCACTTGCCTTAAGGTGCTGCTTAGAGAGGCCAATGTAAACTACATTGCGATGGGTTTGAACAGGAACAGCTGCAGGCCTGGACCAACCTGCTGAGGCTAAAATACACAAACAAACTCACAAATTGTCTGTATGCAAGCAGGGGACACACCAGGACATTGCCTTGGGTCACTAGAGAAGGACACACAAACACAGCACAGCTGCCTCCTGACATCTTTATAACTTCAGAGGAGATTATTAAGTAAGGAATACAAAGGTGTTCACTGATGAGGCACTTCATTGTTTATTGATTTGGATTTTACTCAAAACCTTCAGGAATAAAGATGGAGGTGATCCTCATTAATCCCGATCTGCATGATGATTTATGTAGATTAATGTAACCTATATTGACATACACTGTAACTGGGTACTTGATAATACATACTGTATTAAGTTCAGTCTGCGTGTACATGGCTACAGCCTGTGCGGTTCTAATACAGAGGCCGAGCAAAGGACGGGTAACCCAGATCTACATAGAACCAGATTGTTTCATTGATCAATAGTTCAGCGGTGCCTGCATGTAGCTATTTTTGCAACAGTCAATACACAGCAGTTTCCGCATTGCCTATCAGATTCCAGCTGACGTCAGTGAGAGGACCACAAATCTGCCCAGTCATCATATCCAAGTGGGATGGGATAGAGTGCATACTGAGTAGTTTGGCTGGGTGTGCCTGCCTGTGTGATACAGATGAATATGTTGCCCCTGACTGTTTCTGGTAAAGTTGTTTAGAGAGCAGAAACAGCAGGCACTTGTCTAGACATCACATTTCATACTAGTGTGGGCTCGAGTCTCCTTGCTGCAGGGTGTCATTCTTTACTTGCATTATTTCTCTTCCCCACCCTGACAGACACACACACACACACACATTCACATTCACATATACCTGTAGGCGTGCATTCACACCCTTCACATCTTAGTTTTTATTAGGTAAAAAAAAAAAAAAGAAAGAACATGATGTGCATACAACTTTCACTGAATACACCAGCTGCACTTAAACTACAGTTTGCAGTTCTCTGGCTGACACTGACATTAACTCTTACTGTGTAACTGAGCAGCAGTTGAAAATACACTCTGACTGTCATATGTCACATAGCACCTCTGACACATCGTGTACATGACTTGTACATTTCTCCCACAGTCCCCTTCTTTTTGATCATAAGCTCAACACCAACTTATCTACCCCACAGATGTCCTTTGAGTCCTTGACTTGCCCAGCCTAACAATGGCCATGGACACAGAGACATTACCAAATATATCACTGTACTCAGTGTTAATACTTTTTCCATGGAGTCTTGTGTACATACATTACATTTAAAACAACAGACAAAAGAAGACTCCTGTTGCATTACCGTTATAATAATAATAATAGTAATAATTTATTTGTTTATATAGCGCTTTACAACACAGAAGGGAGCTCAAAGTGCTTCAGAATAAAACAGAGATAAAACAGAGCATGCCAAAATACATAAACAAACAAAAGAAAAGTTAACATTGCACAAATTTAAAATGACCTGTAAGAACTATAACACTCCTGTAAAATAAAAATGAGTCAAAATACAAAGAGAATAAGATTACGAAATATAATACGAAATTATGTCTAAAAGTGATCTATTGATTTGTTTATATACTTCAGTCAGCCAAAATGAAACAGCCATATCAAATCTGTGAGCTTGCCAACTTCCTGTTCCTGTTGTCACACTTCATTCTGTTTCAGTTTCTCATCCACCTCACCTGTTTGCCTCGGTTGCAGGTATCACAGAGACCATCACCCAGCTTGCCTCAGGCTGGGTGGCAGACAAGAACCTGTTCCATAAATACCACTACTACAAGGCCTACCTGATCCTCTGCGGCCTGGTCAACCTGCTTTCCCCACTGGCAACTTCCTACATCCTGCTGATGGTCTATGCTGTCTTCTTTGCCATCTTCTGTGGCGGCTACATGGCTCTGCTGCTACCTGTTCTAGTAAGGAAACCACCCTACATAGCTCTTAAAACAAATTTGCTTGTATTACTAGTTCACCAGGACTGTGCAGTCAGGTGACAAATGAAAAGAAAGACCAACATAAAGTGTCTCAGTAAGTTGCTGGGCCACCAAGGGCCACCAGAACAGCTTCAGTGCTCCTTGGCATTGCTCCCTGGCGACTGCGAAAGCCATAGCATATGATTCGCATAATATTAATATTTGTCAAACCATTCAGTGACCCCTCGTGCCCTATGGATGGGCGCACTGTCATCTTGGAAGAGGCCACTCATTTGTTTAGGTTTTTCCTTTGTCACCTATCTGTAAATTTCAATAATGCCTTTTAAAAATGTGTCCAGGAGTTTTGTATAGTTTCATGGAAGATAAATTATGTCTAAATGTAATTTTGTGAAATGGACCGAGTTGGTACTTATTACTGGCTAAATGGAGACAGTGTTCAGTTGGTACATCCAAACAATTAATTCTAATGAACTGCTAGCATAATCCATAGTATTTGTTCTGTACAGAGTAGGTGAGTTCATCATTCAAAAATGTGATTTTTGTTTTCTACAGGCAAGCAAATAATTCAACATAATGAAGAATGTGGCTTGCAGAATGTATAAACAAGACTAAGAATCTGCAGCCATACAAGCATCTCTGTGAGGTTATACTGAGGTTTGGCTTTGCTCTGAGCTACAGTGAATGCTGATAGGGCAGTGAGTGAAAAGTAACTGAACAAAGGGAGAACTGGATTTCAGAAAATCATTCAAGCTTAGTGAGGGTGGTTAAATGTTGCAGAATCTGTAGTATCACAGTGTGCTAGGTCTGTATCTTTTGACTTTTCACACAGTCCCACCAGTGTCAGTTTCACTGTATTATCAGTCTGCAATTTATTTACCCTGAAAGACCCTACAGTATCAGACTTTCTAATCAGTTGAACGCAAAGCAAGTGTATTTGTGTCTGGGGACTTTTGTACCATGTAAAGGTGAAATGTCTTCATTACATAACTGTCACACACTGAAAGGGGAAAGTATCCTTGAAGCATGACCATTGGAGATGTTTCTCAGCTGCCATTTTTGGTGTAACATATTAAGTCAGCGAGTATCCGATGTCTTGAGGTCATATTATACCTGAACACAAAAACTTGGGGACATATGTGGTATGATTTCACTTGCCAATGATGCGGTCTGAAAGGTCAAGGAATGCCTCTGGGCCTAAATGTGTGATCAGTGTGCCCCACCCTCCACCCCCGAATGTGGCTGGAAGAGCCAGTCTTTTTCAGTAAGACTGAGACTAATTTTCCTGATAAAGGTTTCCTCATAAAGAATTTTAAACTGAGGCCAGGTATTCATATGCAACTCTAGACACCTCACCTAGTTTGAATTGACAAGCAAGGGCTGCTGTGACTTTATCTCAGGCACTTTGTAAGTGTTTTGTGTTGGCAGACATGCATGAAAAGTACACACTGTAAATCAAATGTCAGCAAAAGGATGATGCCATCACTGGTATTTGAAGAACAGACCTCAAACCAGATAACGACAAGTCTGAGTAAATAGTTACAGATGTTTTCTGGTGCAGCTAAAGGTTTCTCACCTCAGTAATGTTTGCAAGCATTGAAATATACCTATATTTTTGTCAATTTGTTAAAATGTTAGAAATGTGAAATATTTGCTTTGTACAGAGCGAAAACACACAAACTGTTATTTTTACATTGCAATATGCAAATAAAGAAGAAGATAGAAGTGCCAGTGTTTGAAGAGCAGCAGGTTCAACATGTGGTTCTGCTCTTCAGGTAGATCTCGTGGGAGCAGAGAAACTCAACAACTCCATGGGCTTCTCCATGTTCTTTGTCGGTGTGGGTTGCCTGACAGGGCCTCCTTTGGCAGGTGAGCGGATCATGTCATGTGCTAACCCGCTATTCCACATCCACACAATATCGTACATAGAGTACAGTACATATGCACTGCATGTACATGGGATTGTAGCCATGTGTTGTTTTCAAAAGTGATTTGTTACTAAAAAGGCAAGGTGAAGTTTATACTCATTTCTTATTTTCATGTGTGTTAGTGTCTTTTAGTCTGTAAGAGCTTCAAGCAGGGAGTAGGAGAGTGGAGTAGGTCACTGTTCTTTTATGAGTGTATATTTTTGGGCCCTGAATAGTTTACGGTCTTGTCTGTATGCCTGTCTGGGTAGTCACCATGGAGTGTGAAAACTGAAACACACAGGAGAAAAACTACCTGTGGTTGGTAACGCAGACTGGGATTTTAGGAGGTTACTTCTGACATAAGTGCATAATGGATCACTGGGTCAAATTACATCCTGCCTCCAAGTGAGTCAAATCAAATATTTGGAATAACAAAGTGTTAATGGCAGGCTTTGAGTCATTGTGTTTAAGAGATTTCAGATAACCTTTATTGGAGTGCTGTTTCTAATTTGGGTTCAATTTTTTTACATTGTATTTTGTTACATCGGGTTGTTCCAGATTCCTTTGAATGAACTACACCTTTTCATAGTCGTCATAAGAGCAACTTGGTTTGTTCAGCAAACTGAAACACACAGAACATGTCTCATCATGACAAACACTTTTTCTGTGAAGATGTGACTTCCAGGAAATGAGGAAACGGTCCCCGACCATTGTGAGGGGCAGTCTCCTCAGAGGAGCTTATGGATTTGAAATGTGACCCTTTTTGGGGTTATACAAAAATAGCACGTGGCTCTGATTACCATCCCTGTGGCTGAAGTAAAAACCTGATGTTAGACTAACTGGCTCCTCCTGCAGGCCATAGGTTGTGATAACATCCCTGCTGCCCAGTTCTTCCCCTCAGGAAAGCCAACTGTGTGTCAGCTGTCTCAGCAGCAGCTGTAGTGTGGTCATACCTGCGTTTCATCTACTCAAACGATATGCGTCAAAGTGGATCATGGAAAGAAAACAAAGAGCACAGGAAGTTAATGAGTTACCTATACTTCAAAGAAGCTCATGCATGTTAAACATGTGAGCCCTCACAAAAGTCTAATGTGACTTGAAGAATCAAAGTGTACGTCACTGGGTAATAGAAAGTTTACATATCCATTGTGGAAATAAATACCACATAAAATTAACTAATTATTTGCTAAATAAAAATGATTTTATACATAGATGTTTATGGTATTTTTTGCACCACTTTTTAATAAATCAGCCTTTATTAGCATCAGTTATTGATGCTTAACAAAGTATAAACCTGCCAGGAACCGAAATTACATGACATGATAAAAATGACACGGGGATCTATAAAAATGTACAAATCCTTAGCGATAATTTCTCAAAACATTGCTTTAGAACAGTTTTAAGTTTGTAAAAAGTTTCACCATTTATACACAAGCAGAAAAATAAAACTGTTTACATGTATCTCAACTTGTTTTCATTGAACGTCTGCACATACACAAAGAAAGTTGTGCACTGATGAACAGACTTTTAAAGAAGTGTTTCTGGTTTGTTGATATTTTGCAGGGCTCCTGTACGACTACATTCAGACTTACGACTGTTCCTTCTACCTGGCTGGGTTCTGCTATCTGCTGTCTTCCCTCTCCCTGTTCATGGAGCCACTGGCTCAGCGCTGGAAGGCCAGGAGGAAACTGGCTCAAGACAAGACGGCTGAAAGCGGCTGTAAGACCAATGGCTGCTTCAGCTCCAACCGCCTGCATAATGGTGTTGTGTAGGAATGAAACCCAGGGGAATTGTGAACCAGCATGCTCATGACTTGCTGAGGGCCTGCATACCTTAGACCTGCAGGAGTGTAACATGGCCAAGGAAAAGAAGACCACAGCAATGTGATGCCCCAAACCACAGTAGAAGTAAGGACATTGGGGAATAAATGATTATGTTGAAAAGTCAAAATGATGGTGTTCTGCAAAATATTTTCCCCTATTCTTGTCCTTATATAGTGCTGGAAGGATGAGGTGTTTTTGCCAGTCAACCTGGAAGTTAGCCTCACTCCGGTTCCCTTGACAAAAAGCCAGTGGGCTTTTTCCATAGACTTTTGGATTATTGTGGAAAATAAGCTCTTGAGACAAACATCAGTTTATAACACGTTTTGTTCAGCAAAATAATCCTCACAAGTGAATGCCACTTTTATTATTTTTGAAGCTCAAATACAATTGCCAGAAGTAAAAAGCTATTGTTAGGCTATAAACCAACTACACTACAGTCCGATGATCATGGCTGTGTGAGTGTAGTTTGCAAGTGTGTGAATTTAAAAATAACAAGGCTGTAAAGGCAGAATAATGAGGAGATGAGTCTCCATGATGGCGTGTAAAATCCCAGACAGCCTCTATAGTCTCATTTAGCCACATATAATAATAATAATCATCACTTTACTTGGCCAAGTATGTTACACACACAAGGAATTTGTTTCCGGTACAGAACCGAGGCAGCCATCTGCAGCGCCAACTCACACTGATGGCTCTAGCCATCGGGGGGCCTTCAAAGTCACCAAAACTCAACCCAGTTGAGCACCTATGGGAGATTTTGGACTGACGTGTTAGACAGTGTCTCCACCACCATCATCAAAACATCAAATGAGGGAATACGTTTTGGTAGAATGGTGTTCATCCCTCCAGTCCAGAGACTTGTAGAGTCAATGCCAAGGTGCACTGAAGCTGTTCTGGTGGCCCAACACCTTAATAAGACTCTTTGTTTCCTTTCATTTGTTACGTCTGTATCTAATCATCTTTTCCCAAGCAAGAACAAAATTTCACTCACTTTATAGTAACTTTTCATTGCTGGAAAATGAGCTATGCATTTCAGCTCAGAACCTTCAGCAGTATAATTCTTGGAGGCACATATCGATGAAGGAACCATTTTCACCTGATTTCTTTACTTGTAACTGTACTTCTGTACCCACTGCTATGTACTTTGGGCCAAGCTGTAATTGTGCTGCGTGACATTTACTCTGATCTTACACTTACACACAGCAAAGATTTCAGCTTTTGAAAGAAGCCTGTGACAAATTCGTTTTGCTTATGTTGCCCATTTGAACGCACAGTGCCCCTACAGCTGCTGCCCAGTCTTTACAGTGCCTGCAGACAGCCAATTAATAGCAATGCAATTTCAAATTTTATTGTGTTTATACATGAGCATCTGTTGGTTGTTTAATCTTCTTTATATAAAATATGTTTTTTTATGTTTTCAGTAGAACCATTTGCCTTACAAGGTACTTTATTGTATCTTAACTTGCCTGTGATGTCAACCAAAGACACATTAGAAACCTTTGTTCCAAAAATGTGGACATTGTATATAATTTAAACCACTATGACCACCTGCTATCAAGTCATTTCAAAGGTTATGGATGGCCCAGAATCCAGTGATGGATGTGTGTATTGTTACACTGCCCTCTTGTGGCAGAAGAAGGCTTTTACTCAAAGAATGTCTCAATTAGTATCTAATTATTCCCCCTCAACTCACTCACACAATACTGAGCAAGGCTCTTTGTACCGTTTCAAGAATGATAGTCATGCATTAAAGCTCTTTTGGTTCATAGCTGCATTCACGACCACTTTTGTGATTGAGGGCTGCTGAATATTTTGTACCATAATAAATCTTTTTATGAAAATTATTTTGATACTTTAAAAGTACATTTGGTTTGAGATTGTTTTACTTGTTATCAGGCTTTTTATGAAACTGTATGTTTTAAGTATTATTCTGAAAAATTTATGTTTATTGGGTGATGTCTTAAACAACTGTTAAAGAAACTGAGGTTGCTTTTTTTTTTGCAGCAAATGCATTTATGGATAAAACACTGTTTTGGCACTACTTTGGCTCCTGAATTTGTTAACTGGTTGAGTTTAGAAAATACACTAAACCAATCGCATATCTTTTTTCCAAGCCCTTAATTTTAAGCCTTGTAGTAGTGTGCACTCAGCTGTAATATGATGTGTGACTCGGTCTGTTTTCTGTGATTCACACAACTCCAAGTAATAAATGCACTGATATCAGGCCAACATCTATGCACAAAACACAAGTTGCAACATATATGACATGTTTTATTATTAACACATCATTTAGACACAGCAATGTGAATAAACAAAATGTGCCAAGTATATTTTAACATTAATCTTCATCTTGGAATTAAAAGTAGGCACAGCAAAGGCCTGTTACAATTATTGCTCAAAAGCTACCCACTTTAAAGTGTTATACACATTCTGATTTATTATTTTTAATGCGCTGGTAATCAAAGCAATCATAGGTTACTTACAGGAGACGACATCTGATGCCGGATTTACTGGTGGAAACAATGGCTGTCCAGTGGATCTGTGTAGAAAACATGCAAACGTGTTTTGATCATAACGTGAGTTTACAGTCTTTACTGCCAAACTGTTTTAAATGTTCTGAACGTGAGAGTTGTTGCAAAATAATATTTGCATTGAGAAATTTAAATGCTGTCTGGCATTGTAACAACACCCAGTTTATTGCTTAATACTACAGTAAAATGCGCTGCAGTGTGATTGGATAACATAAATGAAATGTGACATTTTAATTGACACTTACAGCTTTTATAGCTCACAGTCTACCAAATGAGCTGGGTGTTCTCACAGTAATGCATGAGCAAATCAAGATGCGAACTGAGTAGGTTAAACAATGGCATATTGTACAGCAGTTTACATTTGCAAATGGAGTCTAACACTGGCAATTAGACCTTTAAAAATGGTTATTTGAAAAACTGGTGACACTGACTGCAATCAGTATGATCCACACTGTAATCTGAAAATTTTACTCTTTGTTTTAAGAATAAGAATGCACCTTTTCCTTAACACTAAACTAGCCATAGTCCAGACTTGTAAATTGATACCATTTTCACAAAGTTTATTTTTACTAATCTTTTTCATTAAATTGGGAATACCTGATTTTGTACAAAACACCTTACCAAGCATTGTATGGCTGCTCCAGTAGTGTCAGGCCTCGCTGTAGCGTTGAGTGAAAAAGAATATTTGCATGCCCCTGCATTTATCAGGCAAACACCATTAATTATGGCAGTATGTTAAGAAGCAAATACGGCCGCTGGTACAGCCTAAACATACTGGGAGCAGAGTAAGTGGCATACTAGTATAAGAGGTGAGCTGCCAGATTAAAACATCATGTATCAGACTGATTATATTGATTTTCACTGGCTGGATTTTAATTGCTAACTGATGGCATGTGGTCAGATCCTTTAATTTAGCAATACCACAGTATAAAAATACTGACACAAGTAAACATCCTGCATTCAGTGCAAAAGTATTAGCATCAAAATATATTTGAAGTACTAAAAGTACTCATTATGCAGAACGGCACACTTAACATTAATGTATCATATTATTGGACTATAATTACTAATGCATTATCGTGTTCATTACATTTTATGTTGTAGCTGGTAAAGGGGAGCTACTTTTAACAAGTTTATATGCTTAAAATGTGAAATACCACTGGGTAACTTACTGGGTAAAGTATTATCATTATACTATATTTTGTTTAATTAATCTGAAAAGTACAGTAACTAAAGTAATCAAATAAATCTATTACATGTTATGTAAAATGTAGTGAAATCAAAGTATGGTATGAAGTAGCACAAAATGAAAGTACTCAAGTACAGATGCCTCAAAAATGTACATAAGAACAGTACTTGAGTAAATATACTTAGTTACTTTCCATCACCACATGTGATGTGTATATATAGGGCCCTGGACTAAGCCTCCTTTCAATCTCACCTTATTCTTCTCCATTTCATTAACTGGAGGTTATTAACTGTGGCCTGTAGTTTTCTAATAGTAGACAATTTCATACCAGAAGCCATTTTCTTGTTATTAAATTTCATGTAAATCACATTTCTCTAACTGGTTACTTTACACTATAACAAGAAAAAACCAAATAACAATTTCTTTAAGTGTGATCAATACCATCATCTATGCCCAGGAGTGGCTTACTACCAGTCTCATATAAATAATAGTGAGTCTTAAAGGAGAATACACTGGTCTGAGGCCGCTTCTTGCTTTCTTGCGAAACAATTTAGCCTTTACGAATGAATCACTGAATCTAGACAGACATCATATTAACTTTGATTTCTAGTTTTTTTTTTTTTTTTTTTTACATCATTGTTGTATTAAATCTTCATTAAAGTGAGTGGCATGAATTACATTTACGTCACTAATGAGGCTGCAAAAACAACCCAAAGAGCAGAATAATATATATAAACCATCTGCTGTTTAAAAAAACCCTACCAAATTTTAACTGTACTTTCTTGAGGCACTTCAATCTTTTACAGAAGTGATTTTATAATATGTGCACACAAAAGCCTGTCTTAAACTACAACCTCTGTATGAGTGTATTATCAAAACCTTTCAAACCTAAGTGTTCACTGTAAGAGTCCATTAATCATTGTGTGGGTTAAACAGCACCATATGCAATATGTTATTGTGGGCACTAAGTGGTCCTATTACCTTACACTTGGGTTTGGGATTTATGCCAGTCGCCATCAGTGAAAATTACCTCAGTAATGATTTTGGATTGAAACCAATATCAGACATTTTGCATCTGTGGGAGCTGACACTATATACTTACCACTGCTGCCTAAGCCACCGATACAGACCTGGCAGGCAGCGCTTGTTCTCCTTACTCACCAGTCGTACAGTGATACCAGCTCTGTCCTGGGCATCTGCTGTGCAGGAGTGTGATCTATCAGGTGGCCGACTGTCAGAGGAAGGTAGCTGCTCCGTGGTCCTCAAGATGGCAATGTTTCTCTGGTGAAGTAAGGGGTTCTTCTCAGCACAGGACACAGCATCTGATTTCACACTAATATGACTAAAATGGATGGCAGTAGTAAACTTTTTTCCTGTGTAAAATGGCCTTAAACTTATAGAGGTGCAATGGCAAAATAAAAAGGTCTCCTAGAAGAATTTGCTGCAAGGGTGGAGTCCGCACTGTGGGTTCCTTCCAGCTGTGTCAAAAAGGGTAAACAATTTGGCCTGTTCTTGTTTCATTTCCATGCTGTGGCACCCCTTAGATGACAACAAAATACAGCTTCAGCACAGCAAGCATGCGTCTTCACTCTTCTCCTCAGAGAGAGTTCAATCAGAGGAGAACACACAGATGGGGGCAGACAATATTCCTAGCTGAGGTTTGCGCCAATCCTCTTCCCTGAGACAAATATTAAGTCAAATCAAATATAATTCAGGCAAAGTATAATAACAACAAATCAGCCCAGTGGTTCAGCTCAGCCTCTGCAGTGAGACAGCATGAACTGTAGGTGCTATGGAAACTTCAAAGCAGTGTCACCCACAATCTCCCGAGCGGAGTGTGCGTGATGGCCGGTGATAGGATTTCCTCAGTTCCTACTCAGAACCAGGAACAATGCACATGAAACCTTTAGAGTACATGAGCAGGGAACACAACAGGATACTTGCACGTGCTGCTGCTTGCTCCGACCCTCGCCTCCGGAACTGCACCGTTGTCGTCATCTGCCACCATTTCACACTGCCAACTGGACTCTGGCTGTAAACAAGGGCCAGCAGGGGCTCCTCAATCCTGATCAGGTGTTCACATGCCAACAGGAACAGTTGAGGGTAACACAGGATCATGGGGGAATAATTTATGACAGGCAACTTAGGAGCTCAAAACAGGCCTGTAAGCAAACAGCAATCCTCACACGAGAACAGAGGTCTCTCTTCGCTGGTGCTAAACAAACTGCAAATCGTCTCCCTTTTTGTGTGCAGAAACAAACTTTCAAGTGACAATTCCTTCGAAACACAATAAGGTATAGCAGCTCGTTTCTTCAATTCACCTCCATCGAAGAAACAAGTTTCCCTTCAAATGAACAATTTATTAATAATCGGTCACATAAAAGTGCCCAAAAGCACTTTTCAGGTATGTGAACAGCTTCGGGTGGGCTTTATGGACTTTCCTTTCCCATGACATCAAAGTGTACATTGCTCAATTTTCCATTTAAAACAGAAGTCATCACAGGAGCAGATGGGCTACACAATTTAAAAGCCTCATCACAAACACTAGGTTGCCTTCTCTGCAGAGAGCTTCAGCTCTGCGTTCGTCTCCTCAGGAGTCCAGCGTCGCAGCGGTGGTGACACACATTACAATTTTCCCACATATGAATGTTTTCAATACATTCTGAACTAAACTCAGTAAGTCATAATTTGGGTGGATGGCTATTGCTGTACAATCATACAGTGGCAAAACAAAATATAAGTAGGCCTTGGGAACATATTGGCAGGCATGAGTAAAACAGTCAATTTTAGACCTCTAAAATTTAAATTAACATTAACTGTTAAGGTAATGGTAAAACTTGCCTTATATAAAATTACACAGACCCACTTAACTAGACAAATATCAGGTTTTTGTTACTTTGTACCAACAATTTACTGATACTGAATATTATCATTCTTGGAAGACCTATTGGTTACAGAGGAATAAATGAAACAGACTGTCCAATATCAACACATTAAGTCTAAGTAGTTTTTTTTTTTTTTATCCAGCACTATTGTAGTCTTTCATAGATCACATTACACAACCATTTCTAGGGTTGGGATGCACAAAATAAAATAAGTAAAAAATATGAAAACTTGTTAGTATCTGCTTCACTATACTATGTGTATTGTGTTATGGGTTGCTCCCCTGGGCAAAAATCTTACATCTGTTAGTATTCAGCACTCCACAAAGAGCTGACATGACACTTTAGGTTAACCAGCGGATTGCACACACACTGAGTTCATTGTCAATCTTGCAATTTGGTGTTCCGATACTAAGGAACACACTAACACTACACTCAAATCCAAACCATGAACCTGAACATTTTTTAAATACACCTGGCAACACAAGCAACTGAAATGTAGAAGACCTTTTACCTGGGGACCATCAAAATATTTATCAACTTTGGGAACAGGCAGGCTAGTGTAAGCTTCAATGCGAATCAAGAAAAAAATAAAAAATAAAAAAAAATAAACCAAACACACTGCTGAGTTCTTCTTCAGCACACCACGCTCCATTCACCGGCTGCTTACCTGAAGAAGGCAGACAGTAGGTAAACATTTGGTAAATGCAGCACAGTGGGCCAAAAAAGGGCTGTCAACATGTTTTGATCTCCAAATATTAACAAGACTTTTTCTCCAACAAGATTAGCTTTGTTAATGGAGCACTAAATCACTCACTACACCTTTAATGAATTGGAAACAGCACTCTCACCTGTGTATGAATCCATAAAATAAAATGATTATAGTAGAAATACTACTGCACTGTAATGCAAACCTCTGAAAATGATTCCTTCATGCAGGAGGTAGACACAACAACACCACCTGTACAATCCATGGACATACAATAGATTAGCCCAGGGACAAATATCTGTTAGGCTGGTCATTTTCAGATTTTGTTAACACTGCATCAAGGAGATATGGATTCAAGGCCATACTAGTTTGAAAGGCTATTCTTTGGGGTTTTATTGTAATGGAGCTATTATTGTGTCCACTTCGGTCGTTTCTTGTACTACATCTGGACATCTAAGATTTTTAACCTGCAACTGAACCAAATGTTTTCTTTATGACATATTACTCCTTAAGTAAAATTGAAATTTATTCCTCAGATGCTGTTGCAGGTTTCTGACTTTGTGAGCTATTCATACACCCTTGAAAAAAAGAATTTTCAAAAACATACACCCTTTTAGTTTTGTACAAGGGCACAGTTTGTCCTTTTAGTGGATTACAAGGCAACACACAAACATCATGAACCATACTAGTGTACCCCATAATGCAGAACACACAGCATGCAATAGTTACTGACACACAGCAGATGTTTTTTTTTTTAACATGACTTGAAATTAGTGTGTTAAGATTTTTTTAAGATGCTCCACGAACCACAATCATGACTAGATAGTCCTCTTCACTTTTAGCCAGAGCTTTGGCAGAGGAATCCAGGAACTGCTGGGAGAAATCACAGGGAGGGAAAGCATGAAGAACCCCTGTGTTGTCTTTATCTCTGCTCCCCCCCACAGGCAGGCTGATGACTCCAGCTGCTTGTTTTTGGTTGAGGTAGGACACCAGGTTACGAAGTGGCCGCTGAGTTGAGGCTGCTGAGTCAGATGACGATGTATCCTCTGTGGTCCCTGGAACTGCCAGCAGAATGGCGTATCCTCCAGGACCTGCCACCTTGATGCGCCGGGACACCTCGTCAAGCTTGGGCTGGTCCAGACGGAGACGCTGGGTGATCTTAAGCTCGCTGACCTGCCTACCTGTTGTGCCGTCAACAAGTAGGTCACTGGCTACGTTGTGGTTGCCTTCCAGCAGGTGCATGTTGGCTGGGAAGTTGCTGTTCTTCAGCAGTAGCATGCCATGCCAGGCCAAACTGAGTTTGGTGCCATCTGGCTTGGATAGCTGTCCTCCCTTGGAACTGCTCTCTGAACGTTCTCTCTTAGCTGGCCCTTTTCCACCGTCACCTGCTTTGCGCTTACGCTCAGCAACTGCTGACACACTGCTGCTTGAAGGGCCCTTCTCAGAGAGACCCTGGCTTTTGAGTCTCCGTTCAGCCCCACCCCGTTCCAGGTTGCTGTGATGTTCTCGTGTTGGGGAGGCTCTCTCACCCCGCATAGGGCGCTCTGAGTCACTGAAACGACCTCCATCTCTACTGCTACCTCCAGGACTGCCATCTGGAGAAGCACGTCTACGCCTTACTGTCCTCTCAGTGCTGTCAGGGGAGTGGTCTATATGACGACCGTCCTCCATTACACGCCGCTTACGTACAGGTTCTCGTCCCTGTAGCTCTCTTTCCAAAGACCAGGGCTCCCGTGCCCGCCGCTCACGTTCCAAGTGCTCCAGAGGCTCAAAGGGTGAGGCACGCACCCGTTCACGAATAGCTGGGCTGGGCCACTCAGCTCCAGGAAAGAGCTCTCTCTCCCTGAAGTGAAGCGGCGGTGGAGTCCGTTCCCTGACCCTCAATGGTTCAGGTGTGGCACGGTGGACAAATGACTCTGCCACCATGTCAAAGGGAGGAATAGGGAGTGGCTGCAAAAACTGCTGCTGGTAACGATGCTCAGTGTCAGCAAAGTCCACTCTAAGTCTCCTCTCTGGACCTCCCAGGGGGAAGCCCCTCATATGTGTGCATGCCGCTTGTGCAGCGTCCAAACTTTCATACTGAATGTAAGCCCAAGTGTCCCCCTTTCTATAGTCAATGGTCCTTATAGTGCCAAAGCGGTCAAACTCTCTTGCCAGGGCACCTAAAGGAACCCAGGGTCCAAGTCCACCCACCCACAGGCGTGTGGTGGGAGTTGCCTTCCCATAACCTATCTTTATAGGGTTACGGCCCACTATTTTGCCAGACATACTAAGCTTAGCACGATGAGCCATGTCCAAATTTTCAAATTTTAGAAATCCATATGTGCTGGTTTGTCCCCTTGTGGGTCTTTTAATGTCCACTTCAGTTATGACCCCAAACCTGTCAAAAGCTCTCCTCAAGTCTGCATCTGTAACAGTTATGTCCAGGTTGCCTAAAAACAATGTCCTATTGGCTCTTTGGTCGTCCTCTGGAGATATAAAATCCTCCTCTCGAAAAGCTGCTCGCTCTGCAATGAAAGCCGGACGTGTCCTGGCTTCAAACAGGGCAAACTCCCTGTCCCGCTCCAGGTCTCTAGGCAAAGGAGGCGGTGGAGGAGGAGGAAGCCGTCCCAAGGCCAACTGCTGAAGCCGATAGTCTCTGTATCCAAGCCCAGTGGGCGAAAGGGGTCTTTGAAAATGTCTATGGCTTTGAGCTGCACCACCATACAAGTCTCTCTCCACGGGTGAGCGGCTTCTCCTCCTGTTGATATACACAGCCTCTATTTTCAGCGGCCGGTCGTACAGCACTAGCCGTCCCCTGGCGTGCTTAGCAGCTCTAGCGTCCTCTGGCTTCCTGAAATTCACAAACGCTATGCGCTCGTCATTGCTACGGCTTATCTTAACGCTCACATCTCCGAATTTTTTAAATTCATGGAACAGTCCATCCTCTATATCTTCATCACTCAACTGGGTGCCGAGGTCACTTATTTTGAGAGTTTTGTACTCACTCTCGGTGTTTGGTAGTTGAACCCGCTGCTCGGCCCGCGACGTGGTCCTTGGTGAAGCTAAATCCAGCGTCAGGCTCAGGTTGTGGTTTTTGCCGACGGTGCTAGCGGCAGCAGACTGACAACTGTGATTATTTCCAGCTCGACTATGGCCGTCGAAGTCTCTGTCTCTTTTATCACCGAGTAGATTCCTTCTTGTTGAGCCACCGTCGCCTTTTGTCGAACTATTTCCATTATTACTCCCACTGGAAGCGGAGAGAGCACCCATTTTCTTGCTGGTTGGATGGCATCCTCCCCGGTCTCGAATATCGTCCAAGGCCCGAGAGCGTTTTTTAATCGGCGACCGTTCTTTACCTTTCATTTCAGTCCACGCAGAGCCGACCTTTGGGGCGCCTATTCTTAGTGCTGTTTCTGCGAAATGATGCAGAAAGTTGTCGAACTGAAAAGCGAATTTATTCACTAACCCTGCAGTAGGACAACAATAGTCGCCATTTTGTAAAGATTATCCCGAAGTCCCGCCCCTTCGCTATGATTGGTTGAAAAGTGGGTGGGAAACTTAAAAGTTCATGTCAATCATCGAGGGAGCCGTTCACATTTCGCGTCCAAGTAGCGTGGCTGGACAGAGTAATTGTAATACGTGTAATGCGATTCATTTCAAATAACCAGCAATAGCTGAGGCTTGTTAGTGAGCTGAGCGAACAGATTGCAACCAATACTTTACATGTATTTAGATATTTACAATTTGCCACAGTCAGACTGACTATAGTCAAAATTATTTGACTGTTATGTACAATACACACGCCAAACATTTGCAATGCCCAATAAATTAGGAAATAAAATTAACCCAGATTTTCACACGAGTGGTAACAAAGTGATTTGAAGGCAAGAATAGTGAAACCCTTTCATCTCAACAACCCAGTTTGGCCTAGTGCCACAAGGTGGCAGCATTTGAACAGTAGCTCAAAAGGTACAGTAGCCCATAAGAACTTAATGACCTTGGATAGACACAAGACCTCTTCCATGGCTATGTGGACAAAGCAAGCTGTTAATAAGTCTGTTAATATGACAAACTGTCATAATTGTCAGACTTATATGAAATGCAATTAATAGCCTTTTAATTAATAAGCTATGGGTAGACCTACTGTAGATTAGCTAATTGGACAGATTTTAGGCCACTATCTCTTGTGAAGCAATTGTTAATATAACGACTTTTTTCTGTAGATGATAAACGTCCAGATGAAGCTCTACTGATAAATGTGGGGAAACAGCCAAATACTCCATTACGGGCTTGCTTCACTCCATTGATTGCCTGTTACTGATTCAACCACACTGCGCTTCCTCATCATTTAGCTTAATGTGACATGTTAATGCTGTTCAACTATACTTCACATACATAGATTTGTTGGGTCACAGTAGCTGAACTTCAAGACCAGCATTTCAGATCAAATCACAGAACAGTGGCCAGAAGGGAGCTTTACACGTTTTAGTGAGCATTAAATCATATTTTAGTCCAAGGGTTTAATTTCCAGATGCTACTGACCCAGTGACCCTGACACACTTTGTGATGCTTAGTTAATAACTGCCCCAGCACTGTGCAGTCTTAGCTCAAGATTTTTCATTTATTTTTGACAAACCATATAGTGCCTTTGTAGATTTTTATATTTACAACAATATACTGTAGATGCTTATGATAAAAAAAAAGTATGGAGACCCTCATTTTGTAATATGACATCATTAGTTTTTTTTTGTTTCTTTTATAGGTGTAATAAACTAATCTACAGTTATAATACTGTGAGTTACTCTATTACAGCTGTCCTGACAGTGCTCAAGAGTTAAGTTATCAAATTCACTAAGCCATTTAGTTTCCCCCTTTGTTTGTGGAAAACCAGATTCGATTAACCTACTCCCTACCTAAAAATGAATATAAAAGGGCTCTGATCCATCATCTGCTATTTCTTAAGATTTCCTCAAGAAGGCCATCTCCTCAATGCCTTATCCCTACTGACAGGTCGCCTTATCTTCTCCACTTAATCTGGGATTTAATCAGGGGGCTATGTAACTGCAGTAAGGGCTGCCGTCTCCCAGGGCCTGGCTGGAATTTGAAGCTGTGGGTGTGGAAAGTGTTTCTGATGGTTTTGTGCATTCTTCTATTGGAACCACATGTTTGTGGCTCACACAAAACCCAGGCACAGACTGAGGGAATGGCAGCTAAAGGGAAAGGAGAGCCAGCATATTCCCCCCTAAGCCATGTACACTCCTGGGGAGTAATCGGGGCTTGGGATGGCTTTGTCCACCAGTGGAACGCTTTTTTTTCTCAATTCAAGTTGCATTCTCAATCTGGCAGAGATGGAAATGTTTGCACATCTGACATGAATATGTTGGTATTTAGTAATGCATGCCAGATGGGAGGCTACCATGCAATTCAGTGTTTCCTTGACAATAAAGTAAATTGTTTGGGCTAAAACACAACAAGGCGATTTCCTGAAAACCATTAATAGGAATGCTGTCAGAACATGTGAGACTAAATATCCCACAGAAACATATTTATGTCATGTTCTTCAACATATGAAGAGCTATATAATCATAAATAAAAACAGAAAGCAGGTGACCTGGATTCATTTAATTAATAACCAAATTCACTTTTCTAACCCAAATTTCTTCTATTAAAATGTAACTTATTACTCACTGGTTAGGTTTACCACTGATGCCAGATGTGAATGAAAATGATCTGTCTCAGTGTGAAGCCAGCTGTCTGTGGAAAGCTCACTACTTCATCATCAGTGTTGCTCACTTAGCTTTTTATTAACCAGCCTGCTACTTGCTCCTGACACATGAGGTGCTACCCGAAGGCCTCTTGAAATGATGAAGGCTGCACATGTACAGTCTCTTCCTGAACACAAAGAAGCTCACTTCCCACACAGCAGAAATCTTTGTATTTGTGACAACCACAGCTTGAAAAGCAGTTTTTCCTCATGACCACATTTTCAGTTAAAATGTGACACAGGCTTTTGGTTAGCCCTCTTAGTTATCATTTTTCTAAAAGAGTCATGTCAAGACTAAAATAATTCCAGCTGAGATTGTTTTTGTTCCATTTTCTTAATCTATTTTACCAAAAATACTTTGCTGCTGAATCAGACAGACTTTATTACTGGTCACACTACGAAGCACGACAGACATAAAACAAAGATTAATATGATAATAAATTTTTTTTACATGCTTAAATAATGTTTCCTCTTTGGTCTCAGCATTGTGTTATCAAACTAAAAATGGAAACAAGAAAGCTGCAAGAAGCTCAAATTACGCTCAGTGTTCATCATATTGTTTTTCGAGTCTCCAGTTCGGTTTGCGTTAATGTAAAGAGGAAATATGTGAATCATATGCTGAGATGGGTGTGTACATCTGGGTCAGGATTGTAATATGCAATGGCTCAGTCAGTGCATAACGGGGTGCTGGCACTGTTGTGGTCATGTAGGCCAGGAGAGGATGCTGCCTGGCTCTTTGGCTTTCATCCGCAGCGCCACCAGGCCCGTCGGCTTGTATTCGGCCTCAGGCCCTTCAATGGAAGGGGACCCGAGGCCTCCTGGGAAACTGTGGAGTGAGTAGAGGCCGTTGATGCCTGGATGGTGAGATGGGTGGTGGTGATGGTGGTGGGGATGGCTGGAGGACGGGGGCATGCCCATAAAACCCTGTAAATTGCTGTGGGGGTGAGGGTATGGACTCATGCAGGATGAGGGGATAGAGTCAGCTCCAAGAACACAAGCAGCACCCGAACCGCTGCCTCCTCCTGTAGCCGCCCCGGGCCACAGGTTGCCCTGCATCTGGACAGAGGGAGATTTAGGAGAGGATGCATTTGGAATTTTAATGGGTTGAACATGGAACTGCTTCATACTTGGGTAAGAACACCAAATCAAGATACCAAATCAGCAAAGCTGAGCTTGTTCAATTTTTACAGAAAAAAAAAGTTCCCAGAGGACAACATGCATCTTCCACTCTGTCATGTGAGATCTGTGGTGGCATACCTGGTATGTATCATGACGAGGGAGAAGAGAAATATCGTATGTAGCAGCAAAGTGGTTGCGAACCTCCTGGATCTTCCCGTAGCGTTCCCGTTTCCTCCACTTGGCTCTACGATTTTGGAACCAAACCTTTCAAATACAAAAACAAAGAGTAACAGGACATTGTCAGAAGACAGCAGGTCTTGTTCAGGCCATAAAGCCTTCTCTGCCTGTAGCTGTAAAACAAACAGATGCAAAATAGAAAGCAGTTGCCCTGAGACACACCTGAACCCGAGCCTCAGTGAGCTCAGTCCTCAGTGCCAGCTGCTCCCGGGCATAAACGTCAGGGTAGTGCGTCTTCTGAAACACCTTCTCCAGCTCCTCCAGCTGAAAGGTGCTAAAAGTGGTGCGATTGCGCCGCTTCTTGTTCTTGCCTGATAAGTCGATGGAGTCAGCGATAGAGTCGCCCTGTAAACCACCACCTGGCTCTTTCAGCTTGCAGTCTGTGCCAATCCCAGGATAGCCCATGGTTTTTGGAGCTCCTTTCTCTCTGACTGAGGCATGCAGGGCACACACAAAAAGGTACAGTTTTAAAATTAACTAGTTTTTGATTTTACATTTATCTGCTTCTATTTATCAGACTATTTTTAGGATGCTAATTTTACTGAAGATTTTACACTTGTCTACTTCTGATTTAAATTTTAATATTATTAAAATTTGCTGCTGTCAAATATTTTGTGTAATCAGAGATTTTTTTTGTTGTTGTTGTTAAATAAAGGTGAAATCATTTTTTTTATATGTACATCTGGTTATTCTTTTGTAGGGTTTCACAGAGATTGGGTAGGATGCACCACAAACAAATCGGCATACTTTCAACAGGGTAACACAGATATATACTATTCATATTTAAAGCCAAATTGTTTTTGAAAGTGTGAGGAAATTGGAGCGTTGAGGAATATACTCCTACAAACATGAAGATGAGAAACAGAAGGAGGCAGTGCTCAGAATCAAATGCCTCTGTTCTGCATGTGAGGTACCAGTGCAAACCACTCCCATCTTCAGTGACAGAGAGAGTCCATTTTCATATGGATATGGTTCTGCCATGCCGGACCAATAAATTGTAATTCTACACACTGTCACAAATAAAACAGAGTATCACAACAAACACTTGGTTTGTTAAGTATCACTGAAAACAGTTAATCACTAGCTCTTTATTTCCGTTTGATTCCCAAACAAAAACAGAGACGCCTGAGAAAAATCGACACACGTGACAATAATTCAGTCAAACAGTGTTTCAACCTGATTACAAACCATATTCAGGCAGTGAACTCTTGGTGAGTTGGCTTGAATTAAATCCACAAGCCAGTAAGTAAATAACAAGATTTGAGTTGTTTCATTTGGAAATGCAGAAATGTTTACAGGCATGTTCCAAACAGACGCAATGTGAAACTTACTGCAGTGTCCACATCATTTATATCTGATAAAGCACATGATTGTTTGGATTGATACGTGTACATTCAGCTGTAAAGGGAACTCTGAAAGCTCTTTGTTCTTTCTGTAACAGACCATGGGCTGTTCCCTCCTGCAGTGTTTGGATGTTGTTGTCCACATTCATTATGTTTAACTCTGAGCTCCACAACAAAAGTCGCTTGCCATTTATCTGCAGGCACTCACTCATTGAGGCACTCTGCTGTTCTTCTAATCTGTGGAGGCCCAACAGAGAGCAAGTTTTTCCTCATGCCCATTGGAGCTGGTCTCACAGCATAGTTCAGGCTGAAAATATTCTCCATCAAGAATGCAAACTGGGGCTGCGGGACTGTCAAGCACCTACATCCGCTCTGTCTCCACTTCTTTAGTTTTTAAAACATGTTTCACCGAAGCTTTTTCACAGATACACGGCATTCACTGGTTTTAAATTCAACTGCTAGAATTTTTATAACAGATGAATAATAAAACTGAAACGATCACAGCCTCTTACAGAGTGTTACCAAGGTTGACCTTGTGTTTACGAGTTCACAAAAACTGTAAATAATTGGCAAGTGTCATATTTTAATTTATTGTTATGAACACTTAGATGTATTTGTGTGTGGTATATTTCTACATCTTAAAATATGGATATGTTAAGGCAAATCTTTATTTTGTGATCATTAATCAGAGTTCAGCAAAATAGCAAAAACAGTTTAAAGCTTCTTAATTAAGGTATTAAATATTAAAACTCCCCAAGTTAGTAAATGTAAAAAACAAAATAAAATAAAAAAGTGCTTTACTTTTTAACATATGGACTCCATGTTGTTTGTAAAAAAAATAATTCAGGACATTTTGTTGTAAAATTTTCAATTTGCATTATCATTATTAAAATCAAACAATTCCTTGTAAAAATACACTCACTCATTAATTCAAATGTGTTAATTATGTATTCCACATGCAAAGGAGTTTTGTAAGTTACAATATTGTGAACTACAATAAAAATGTGAAGATGGTCGTGTGTTGCCTTGGCCTGTGCCACTACCACTACACTTTCCTCGCCACTAGATAAAGGTGTAGGAACCCAAATTTAAAAACTTAGATGAAAACGGTACTGGTACGTAAATGAACACACACAAGGTGTGTATTCTACACACGAAGCTCTACTCACCTACACTAAAGTACATTACAAAATAAATTAAATGGACACCAAAAAATTATCAGTGCACAAGCTTGCATGAATTTGTGTGTTTGCAGTGGGTATGTATGAGAGTGCGGGAATGGGAAACCATGACTTGTTTTATTTAAACTGAATTTAAAAGCAAAGTAATAAAACATCTATTTTAACCCTTGAAACAGGACAGTTGACATTGTTATCTTGACTAATTGTGAAAGAAGTCTTTATTCTGGACACAGATATCACAAAAACTGAATGTGTGCTCATATCCTTTTGCTTTGGGGAATCATCAACACCAATAAATACAGTGAAAGACATCATTTCTTCAAGCTTTGGTTCAATGGTGGTTAGGTTTTTCCCATTTGTAGGCTATTGTGTCTGACAGCAAAAGCCTAAGTCAGTGACGTTGTGTTTTATATGAGAAAAACCTACATATGAGAAGAACAAGACATCTAAAGGCTGAAATATGGAAAAGCTGAAGGTTGGGCTGAAAGGCACTTGCTGCCAGACTGACCTTTAACCTCTCTCACTCCCTCACTTTTTATCAAGTACAGTCAGGTGAAAGAAAACCTGTTGACATTTTTACCACAACCATACTTTCCTTGGTGTTACCAGCTGAAACCCAGGTGCACTTTCCTAACTTTTGTGTAATAGTTAAATGAAAATACACATTTTTAAAGCATGTAAACATAATGAAATAAAAAGAAAAAAGGTCCCTGGTTTGATATATGATCTACCAGATTTAATTTCTTACGCAATATAACAAAGATTAAAAAAGATTATCCTCATATTTTACCACTTTATTCATCCATTTATTTTTACACCCGCTTAACCTGAGCAGGATGGATATTATTTTATTTTTAAACGTCAAAATTGCGGAAAAATAATGCAAGTATTGCCTTCAGCCTTAAATAAATGAAGCTATAAATTATGTTACAGTTTGTTTTTTTTAACAAACCTTAGCCTTTTGGGACAATTTCTGAAATTCAAACTCTTCATTATTGGTAACAGTGACCTTAAAGATCTTGTTGCGGCTCCCACTTATATTTACATGAGCTCTTTTTATTCTTTTCTTTAATTTTGACATACCTTCCGAGTTGTTTTCATAGAAGGCCGGCTTGCCGATTATCACTGTCCCTTTCTGATCTTGGTTTACACTGCCCAAGAACTTGCTGTGCTTGGACGGTGATTCGGGCGGCATCCCCGGGGTAACGCCGTGCGTAAAGTCCGCCGCAGCGTCTCCAAACCGCTCCATGGCGGCGGCGTACAGATCCCCTCGCAGGCTGAGACGGTGAGGAAGAGGAGGAGGAGGAGAAAGGTGCGAGGGTTTCTGCAGCGCATCGCAGGGTAGGAAGGAGCCGCCGTGCTCCAGCCCCGGAGAGTTTCCTGGCGTCCTCCTGCTGGTCTGCGAAGAAAAAGACAAACAACTCTCCGTCTGCATCTCACGGGTCCAGCAGGCAGGATAGACAACAGCGACTGCGCGCAGATAGTGTGGGCGCCTGAGAGAGAGCTTTTTTTCTTCTTCTTCCTCTGTGTTCATGTCTTCATGTTAAGTGGGTGGGATTTAGCAGATCAGGAACAAAGACCCGTGAAGCCGGGATTTGTGTGTGTGTGTGTGCGCGCGCGCAAGAGAGAGAGAGACAGAGAAAGAAAGTGGAGAGAAAGACCGTGTGTGTGTGTGAGTGAGAGTGTGGTGGGACGTTTCCTACAGCATCCAGCAGTCTGATATAATCCGCCAAAAATTCAATCACGTGTGGTTTCTGAGCGTCCAATTAACCATTTAATTTCTGTTTCATATATTGTTATGGGCCTAATCTTCAAATCAAGCAGGACAAGAGGAGCAGACAGCACACACACAACTTTACGCACAGAAATGTGAACGAATAAAAACACTTTTTTATTGACTCCCACGATGACACTGTTACTTGTTTATTTTTACTTGCCATAAAACTATGAGCTACATCATTTCCATCTTTTTAAATGTTACTTAATTTTTAATTTCGGTCTCGAAAACCTAACGAGTAGGCCTAAATGTTTTTATATAACCTATTCGATATTGGTTATATACTTTACTAGACTGGGACTGTATTCTTTTTCATTTACTAAACATTTCTGCACAATAAAGTGTTCAGTCGTATTTAATAGTTCATGTCTTTTCTCCTAGATCTGAATGAATTATTGTGCTCCCGATAAACGCTATTTTTATAAGGTTGTTCTGCCACTAAACCTAAAAAGAGAACACACCGATGACCCACATTTCACTTGTGAAATGACCAATTCACAGAAATTCCTGGTTGTTAAAAATAACTCGGGAAAAATGAAAAAGCGGGAATCCTTACAATAGACTGCCGAAGTCAATTTGGTTAATAAACTAGAGAGGAATTGATAAGTCAAACAGTTAACCACGTTAATTAATGTAAACAAAATATTATAATTCATAGATATAATAGAGACCATTTGTCATTTTCAACTTGTTCATCAAAACATTTTGCGGGTCTGCGTCTTATTTGGGAATTTCGAGGCTCTAATCTTGTAATAGCCAATTATTTTTAAACTAAAAAGTCTTTGCGTCAATTAGGCCTATTAATTTAAACAGAATATTTTTCGATCATGCGATAATAAAATGTCACCCCCACCCCCAAAAAGTTCAATGTTTGGCCGAAAACTATGGTATTATTAAAATATACGTTAAAGATATCAAATGGAAACTACTAATTTTGCTGCCTACACCACCGACATGCATGTTCGACTGTATCAGCAGCTGCACTTCGCCATAACCTCGTCGTGCAGATCTAATGTGGTGCTAATTTCCTGTGGTGGTACTAAATCCTACTGAATGTCTTATAGAAATGATGGAAACAGCAAAACAATAATTATGAAGGTCATAACATTTTCCTGCTTGCAGTGAAAATATACAATTTTAATGAATGCAATATTATTCTTAAATCTTTGTGGGATTTTTACTTGAAATCACGTTACCTTCGTTTTGATAAATGTGTTTGAATCTAAAAGCAATAACAATGTCTTAAATCACAGCAGTAATAGGCTAAGCTTCGTCTGTGGCACAGAGTGTAAGATGTGCTGCTCATTTCTACCACTCGGCTCAAACCTGAGAAAGAATTTGAAGACTCGGCAGTAGGATGAAAAGGCTTTTGATACTGACATGTTATCTCTGATCTCAAACCTCAGCTAAACACAATGCATTTACCAGGTTGAGACTACGTACCTTTGGTTTTGGGTACATCTCATCATCCCTCTGGATACCTGAGGTCACATGCTGCTCAACTGATGGACAAGTATGTAAACACGAGGTCCATTTGGATTGAGAGGCCCCATACCCCATTTGATTCCATTTTGGAGCTCTGTATTAGTTTCCACAGACCGTGTTACAACTCCATGTAAAAGTGTGGTACAACAAGAATGGTGTTAATATGGCATGTGAATTACTACTCCAAGTCAAGGTCAAAGTGTTTATTTGTCATATACACAGTTAGGAAACGTGTTTCCCTGTACAATGAAATTCTTACTTTGCCGTCCACATGAATGCTACATAATACAAGTGAAATATAAAGTAGATGATACACAATACACAAATCTGTGTTGCACCTGTAGTGCGTTCTTCCTTGAGTTGTTATTTGAACAAAGTCTACCTTGCATCAGAATTTCAATATTATAGAAAAAAGTTTGAGTAACCAGTTGTTCTTGTCACAGACATCATTCTTTTAAACAATGTTTTTCTTATCAGAGGCATAAGCAAATTAAGCGCCTGCTTAGGGTCCACGTGGCCGCTAAAGGGCCCCCAAGAGTTCTTGAAATGTCCCACAAAAGAGCCCGTTTATGCGCACTGAAATAGTCATTAACTGTATTTTGATGAAAGCGTGGACTGTCAGACCCTAACCTTAGGTTACATGGAAAAAGCAGCAAAAACAAGTAGTGTCACAATAAGGGCATATCCCTCTTGAGCAGAGAAAAGGACAACAAAAAAAACAAAGATAAAATATCATGATTAAAGTATGTTTACATGACTAATTACTAACTGTCTTCAGGTTAATTGTTTTACTTTTCAGTCCTTCACATTCAGTACACCACTTAGTAGCACTTTTGTGAGTTTGCTACCTTTTAAGATTAAAACTCATGTGGGTAAAACTGTGCTGGGTTGGTAATGATATGAGGTAAGCAAACCGCTACAGTTCAGAAAATTTATCATGTGTATGTTAGATTTACAGAAGTGTGCAAATGATCAAGCAATAACAATACTGACAGCAAAGAGGTGGGGGAGGGTCCCAAATCAAATTTCACTTAAGGCCCCATAAAGAATTGTGCCGGCCCTGCTCCATATACGTTCAAATACTCTGAAATTCCATCTTTTTCTTTACCAAGAGACATAAAAGTGAAGTGAACATAATGAAAAATTCACTCTCCATCTGGATACAAGTTGCAAAGATAAGGCTGCTTGCTTTGGAAGGAAGAGCTCGTTTAAGTTTAAAATCACTAGCGGCCTCAGGTATAATGGCATTTATGTGTAACATGACTCAGATAGAGAATAGAGTCTGTGCTGTCATGTTAATCACTAGTGCCACCTTTTACCCTCCCACATAAACTTCAGCCGAGGTGTAGCTGCCAGCACTTATCAAACTGTCTGACTGACCACCTTTTAAGACCTCAAAATTTCGTTAGAGGCGGTGTATACACTTTAAGATGTATACATAAGGGGACATGGATATGTTTCTCAAATCTTGTGACAAGCGTGTCCTCTGTAGCTCGAGGCAGCAGAGCACTCTTGAATCCACAAACCCAGCTGAGTAAATGCATTCCAGAAATGTGGGCAAGAGGAAGAACGCTTGTGCTATGATCTCGGAGATGCCGCAGGTAACACAGTTTTTATGAATATTGCATCAAGAGAGCGTAAGATGTAAAGGATTATGGGTATGTATTTGCTGAGGAATCAAAGTCTCCTATGAGTCTGTATAGACATTTGTATGCTGTGGCTTTTTTTAATTATACTTTGGTTCATCCATTCAAGAGCTGAAAGGCCCGACTTTCAGATTAAAACAGACAGAAATTTTCACCACATGAGACAAAACAAAGCACTTGTCCTTTATGAAATAAGCATATTATGTGAAATGTTCCTCGGCACAAGATGTGTGCATTCAATCTTCATCTCACATCTGGGAAAGAAGTGGTAGTGAAAAGCAGGGAAATGGCACAAAACAACACGACCTCTCTGTCCATATCAGCTCCACTCTCTGCTCCTTGCTGTCCTAAACCTGTGTCCTACAAGCCTGTCCTGGGCATGACCCTGCACAGGAAATCAATTCAGCCTGCTGGGAATCCTAGGTCTGCCCCCCACCCACCTCACTGCCTCTCTAACTCTGGGTACAGACATTGTGGATAAAGGTGACCCTACACTCTCACCTTCCACCCTGTGGCCTTCGGGCTAAAGAGCCACTTCCACCCCTCCCTCCACATCCTCTCTGCCTGGCTGTCAGTCTGGAGGGCTGTGTCACACCCTGTTACACCTTACATCCTCTGTCTTACACACACAACTAAATGGCACATACTCATATACAGGCTACACACACATACACAGCTGTAATCAAATAAATGTGACACCAATGTTCTTAATTAATATTTAAAAAATCAGACATTTACATGTTTATATAATAATTCAGTGATGCTATAATCAGAATAATGCAGAGAGTGGGAGTGATCAGACCTTTTCCAGCGACAATCTGATCCCCAAACAGGACATAGATGGAGAAGTTAAAGTGAACCTGCCAGATGAGCACCAACATAGACTGCCAGCTAGAATGAAATAATACTCTGTACTTCATACAAGCTGGTTGTCTTTGTCTGGATGTCGCCGCCTGCGGCCTTTCCTCTCACATACAGCGTGGCGATTCAACCTGAGGTTTGCATTAGAGTGGGAGAAGGATAGTTAATTTAATTACCCTCCATGAATGCACAGAGATGATCCCATATGCAGAGCCAGGGCTCCTCTCAGAGGCCTCCCTCACATCTACCAGTCTGTGTCCAGAAGCTGCAGAGCCAGATTGACAGCTGCTGACCCAGGGGTCAGACGGCTGGAGAGGTGCATTCTGGGAAGCTTATGTCGGTCTGCTGTGGCAATGGGGGTTGAGGTTTCAAAGGGAAACGGGAAGTGGGGCTGTTGTCCTCTGGCTGACCTCACATGAGGGCATCATGATGAACGCTGGAGCCCAGTGAATGTCAGCAGTGAGCGGGACCCACAGCCACAACACACAGCTGGGAACATATTGTCAGAAAAGAAAGGGCAAAGACTTAATGCATGTGGGCAAAATACAGAATTGATGGTGGATGGCTTTTTGGTTAGAATTTTACTAAGTGGAAATAATATTTTCCACACAGCTCTGTAAGAGCATGAGATATCAAAAAGGAAAAGTTCTCCCATTATTTTCAGTGCTGGAAAGATCATGACATAATGTAGTTATTCACTTAACCCCCCAATGATTTTTAAAACAAAAGGCCTTCGTGTTTTAATGCGTAGACCAACTGACAATGACAAGTCCTG